ACACACACACTCTCACACATGCACACACACACACTCAAACCGACACTGTAGATAATTTTCATAGTTTATTCCGTCTTTCCATCACTTTTGGATGTTTGTTTTAAAACAGTGGAGCTATCCCCATTTGTTTTTAATTAATTGTTACAATTAATTCTTGAGCCTAAGATGTATCAGTTTTCGAGGCTTTCTTTTTGAAAGAAATATGTTTCTCTGTGCAGAGAGTTTTTAATTCCCTGTAGTTAAAATGAATCATCTTAAGTCTGTTGCATATTTATTGTTGTTGCTGCTGTTTGTCTTACAAGTAGCACTACTGTTTTATATTGTACTGTTTGTATTGTTGTATTTCTGCTGTTTTCAGTTTGATTTTGTGCAGTTTATCTAATTTATTAATTCTGGATGCCTATTCATATGATTTTATGTGGCACAAGGGATAAAAGCATGAATAAACATTCATTTACTCTTATTCCTGGATTTTCTTTGTATGTTTAACTACATTGGAGCCATAAAGAACCTTTTCATGAATGGTTCCACAAAGAACCTAATAAAGTGACATGAAGAACTGCTAGGGGTTCTTTTAAGAACCTTTGAAAAGGGTTCTTTGCAGTACCGAAATGTTATTTATGGCACTAAGAAAAAATTGGTTCTTCAAGGAACCGTTTAATGAAAGGGTCTTCAGGGAACCAAAAATGGTTCCTCTATGGCATCGCCGTGAAACCCCCTTTTTGGTTCTTCCTGGCACCTTTTTTTTTAAGAGTAGTTTAAAAAGTGTGTTTAACTATTTTTTTATTTATGAACACCTTTTAATAGGGCTTATGTGAATAAATGAGAATGCAAGGGTTGTAGGCAGATTTTGATAAGTGAGACAGGAGAAGACGATCTGTATGGTAAATACTGGTCTAATTGTGTGTTCAAGTCCACCTGGGAAGTTTATATTTACGAGTTGGAAAGTTGTAATTACAATGCCAGGAGTGTTCAAATAAATTGGTTGGAACAAGATGCCAATTTTCTAAGTAAAATTCGAGATTTTTTAACTCTACAAATCTATAAAATAGTGAATAAAGAATGTGCATTGGGTGTGTGTTTGCTTTTTATTACATTTATGAAGGTGCTGTATATTGAATTGTACTGTATATATTCTATCGTAACTGTACAATATGGTATTTTGTGTGTGCGTATGAGTACACACACACATTTGTATTATTTTTGACAACATTCTGAGAAATAACGTGTTCTTCGTGAATGAAAGTTGGTTTATTAAATATAAGGAAATATCTATAAATTATTTAAAATATTGGTTAAAAATATAATCTATGTTTCTAAACATAATCTAATGTTTCTGGAAATACATTATGTAAATATAATAAATGATAACATATTTATGGGTAATTTTCTGTATGCATTTTTAACATTCCTCCTACAAGTGCAACATGTATTTTGTAAAACTTTTCATTTATTAAGGTGCCGTGAATTGTTATATATTCCATATTCTATTGTAACTGTATAATACTATGGTATTTTGTACATGCAAATCATTGTAAAGGAAAATAAAATTAAATAGGTTGCATGTACAAATTTCATGTGTGTGCAACTAAACACAATCTTTCTGACATGACCATCACACACCACAAGAACACTAAAAACATACCCTCAGGGCGTGGTGTAATGCGTGTTGCACGTAGTCGTGGTTTTGCAGAACTGCGTAGTGCGGGAGAAAGGGAGACATCTTTGCCTAGTGTTGGGACTTGCGGCAAAGAAAAGATGATTTCATATTTGTGATGGCTCCTTAAAAATCCCACCTAGATACAGAGTTTAGCAGTCAACGATTTCAGGATGCAACACATCTTATATACTGTTTGTTTTTTTCTTTTCTCGTTTATTTTTCAAGTTTTTTGCTTTGGAAAGCAATTTCTTTCACCTTAACAAGATATGCACCATTAGGTTCTGGTAGAGCTGTGATTACTTTATCCTGAAGCTTTTCATCACAGCTTTTGTTAATGGAAACGTCTTCATCATCATCAGGGAAATGTACTCCACCTTTTGAAGTGGAGCCTGGCGAAGACAAAACAGGGGTGGAGTTAAGATCACAGAGATGGATACTGGACCAGAAGATACATGCTGCAATGATTAATGCAGGCTGAACCCAGTGTGGGAGAGCTGTCAGAACAAACACACACTGGAAGTGTTAAAAGACGACGAGAAAGGATAAATGTATAAATACATAATGCACATTTAGATGACGTAAAAAATAATCTAAATATTGAACCCAGAAAAGACACTGACTTTTCCGTCCTGTTGCCATTTCAACATAATAAGGCCAGGGAAATCCAGGGATGATGATTGGCGTCAATTTGATATCATCTCTAAATAACAGACACTGAGTTAGAGAGAATGATCCCTGCAGAAGAACAGAAGATGCTGTGAGTTATGTAATCTATGATCAGTTTGTAATGTTCTGTACTGTCCTATTCCCTGATGTTTCAGACAGTATATATATATATAGAGAGAGAGAGATTTAAAGATATTAAATTGCATGCAGGTTATTTCCCCAACTTCTAAATTATTAATTGTGCATCCCATGAGCATTCTTGATTTGCATTTCATTGGCTTTGCAGCATAATCCTGCTGGGTTCAATGCCACAGGATGGAGGTCCCCCACAACTGTAATACTTTATTATCATCTAACTAGTAGTAACTGAGGTTAATATGGCGAATCATCCGATGTATAAATACATAATGCACATTTAGATGATGTAAAAAATAATCTAAATATTGAACCCAGAAAAGACACTGACTTTTCCGTCCTGTTGCCATTTCAACATAAGGCCAGGGAAATCCAGGGATGATGATTGGCGTCAATTTGATATCATCTCTAAATAACAGACACTGAGTTAGAGAGAATGATCCCTGCAGAAGAACAGAAGATGCTGTGAGTTATGTAATCTATGATCAGTTTGTAATGTTCTGTACTGTCCTATTCCCTGATGTTTCAGACAGTATATATATATATAGAGAGAGAGAGATTTAAAGATATTAAATTGCATGCAGGTTATTTCCCCAACTTCTAAATTATTAATTGTGCATCCCATGAGCATTCTTGATTTGCATTTCATTGGCTTTGCAGCATAATCCTGCTGGGTTCAATGCCACAGGATGGAGGTCCCCCACAACTGTAATACTTTATTATCATCTAACTAGTAGTAACTGAGGTTAATATGGCGAATCATCCGAGTTATCATTTATGAGGCCTGTTATTAGGCCAAAACCCCATTCAGATGCTTGCTTGTTTGCCCCCAAGTCAATTTTAGACTTTATGCTGACACCATTCAGCATAGGTGCATGAATTTTACTGCTGTTGTTTCATAGCGAAAATGTTTGTTTTGTTTTATTCATTTTGAATTATGTTTCTCTCTGCCTCATACTACACACATCCATATAATGGACAATTTTGGATTCAGTCCCCTAACTATAATCTGCATGGAAGAAAAGATACATAAAAAAGGTATATAACATAAAAAGGTATAGGCTATAAAGTAAACATATTATTGTTATTATTATTATTATTTAAGCGAGAACTGCGCGATACAGCTGGTCATGTGATCTCAACATGGCCGCACTCATGATGGGTGCACCCGCTCCATGTAAAATGATTTTTTTTTCTTCTAGAAAACAATTTTAATTTTCCTCAAAATGGCTGTGAATTTTAAAATGTTTGTACCTTTAAATAGCAGTTAAAATTGTTTTGGCGAATTATTAAATAAATCCCCAAAATTGTCAACTTGTAAGCTGTTGTTGTAATCAGACTGCACACTGTGTTTTTGTACTATAAATGATGTAGTCTACTTGGGAGTGGAACTCTATGTACAGACCTGCAGAGAGGTAAACCCTGATATTGTCCCCTGTAGTAGATTTATGTGTAGATCGTGCACGCAGATGGGACTCCAGACCCATCCTGATTAATAGTGACATACACAACAATTTCACATGAAAACCGTTGGCTTTAATCGGGGTCATTACGCCAGTTTAGTCAAGGTTATTTCAGAGAATGACACTCGCGTTCAAACTAAAGCGGCTTATGATACCGCGCTCATCCCGACGACTTATTTCCAGCCATTCTTCCAAAGCACCCCTGCAAAATCACGTCAAACATGACGATAAGAAAAAAAGCGGCTTATGCAACAATAATCGCTGAGATGGACGATGCAAGTTATAGAGATGTCTACATTAGATATAGGCGGTCCCCGAGGAGTCCGCCTTTGCCGGATACACAAACCCTTCGAAGGCAGCGCCTGACGACAAGGCATCTCTCGTTCATAATTTATTCAAGTATAGGATGTTATGGTCTGTGTAAAAATGGGACAACACTGCGTCGCGTGCCAGTGTCCCGTTTGGCAACATTGACAGAGAAAAAAAATCAACAACTCGACAATAAGAGTAAGTGGTTTAGCCAAAATGCGCACATTTTGTATAATAATCATATATCCTACCTTGTCGTTTGACTTGTCTAATAGACAGAATCATAAATACACCTGGGGAAAAATGTCTTCTGATGACTGCAAGGCGGCTTATTTTTATTATATTAAATAATTTTTTTATGCTTTTATTAATAGGTCCCACTTAAGACAAAAAAACTGAAATTGTGCAGTGATGGTAGCTTTAAAATGTGCGCGTGCACATAGACTAGTTGAAAATCAAAATAATTTTAATCGGAAATTCACTGAAATCAAACTTACCTGTGTTACATGGACTGTACAGTGGAAGCAGGTTTGTGGCGTTGCCTGAAGCGCTCTGCCATCAGTCCCCTCGAACGCAGCGTGTGGAGGTCTGACGCGCAGGCGCGGTCACAAGAAAGGAGCTACAGCCATTGGTTACTGGTGGTTACTTAACGTCTAGCTCTCCTTTTCTACCTCTCCCTCATTATATACACGAAATGTGGAGGCAAGGGGTCCGGGCCAGTGCCCCAGCAGAATCTCTGACTATCATTGGCTTTGAGCAGGGCTGAGCTGAGCTGGTGACCACATTGGCCTCACCCAGCACTGCAAATGTAAAACTGATATAGATGAACAAAAATAGAATGAAAAACAATAAATGGCCAACTGGAAATCAAAGATGCAATAAATAAAAAATCATGCTGTAGCTGCTTTGATTAGAATGCATGATATCACACTGCACACATACATCAGTTCAGTTTTTATAAGCCAACAAAGAAGTTGCAGTTGTGAAATATAGTTGCCTTTCCAAAAAATAATTTGAAACATAAAGTTGCAATTATGATAAAAGGCAAAATGATTTTATTATTATTATTATTAGTCACAATTGCATAACTTAAAGAGTTCACCCAAAAATTAAAACTGTGTCCTTAATTACTCACCCTCTTGTCGTTCCAAACCTATTAGACCTTCGTTCATCTTCGGAAAACTAATTAAGATATTTTTGATGAAATTCGAGAGCTTTCTGACCCTCCATAGACAGCAAGGGATTTACCACATTCAAGGCCCTGCAAATTAGTAAGGACATCATTAAAATAGTCCATTTGACATCAGTGGTTCAACCGTAATTTTATGAAGCTACGAGAATACTTTTTGTGTGCAAAGAAAACAAAAAATAACGACTTTATTCAGCTATTTCTTCTCTTCTATGTCAGTTTGATGTTTGTTCACAAGAGTACTACAACATGTGCGTTGAAGACTGACACGGAGGAAAGGAAATGGTTGAATAAAGCCGTTATTTTTGTTCCCTTTCGATACTTCACTCGTACTGCGTCTTGCTAGACGCATATGGGAAAAAAGCCTTTTTTCTCCTGAACTGAAGCCTATTCATCCTATACTGCATGGCCATTGGTTCGTGCAGAGCTTAAAAAACGAACCAATGGCTCGGCAGCGGAGCTGCACGAGCCTATGGCGGCTTTAATCGGGGTCATTACGCCAGTTTAGTCAAGGTTATTTCAGAGAATGACACTCGCGTTCAAACTAAAGCGGCTTATGATACCGCGCTCATCCCGACGACTTATTTCCAGCCATTCTTCCAAAGCACCCCTGCAAAATCACGTCAAACATGACGATAAGAAAAAAAGCGGCTTATGCAACAATAATCGCTGAGATGGACGATGCAAGTTATAGAGATGTCTACATTAGATATAGGCGGTCCCCGAGGAGTCCGCCTTTGCCGGATACACAAACCCTTCGAAGGCAGCGCCTGACGACAAGGCATCTCTCGTTCATAATTTATTCAAGTATAGGATGTTATGGTCTGTGTAAAAATGGGACAACACTGCGTCGCGTGCCAGTGTCCCGTTTGGCAACATTGACAGAGAAAAAAAATCAACAACTCGACAATAAGAGTAAGTGGTTTAGCCAAAATGCGCACATTTTGTATAATAATCATATATCCTACCTTGTCGTTTGACTTGTCTAATAGACAGAATCATAAATACACCTGGGGAAAAATGTCTTCTGATGACTGCAAGGCGGCTTATTTTTATTATATTAAATAATTTTTTTATGCTTTTATTAATAGGTCCCACTTAAGACAAAAAAACTGAAATTGTGCAGTGATGGTAGCTTTAAAATGTGCGCGTGCACATAGACTAGTTGAAAATCAAAATAATTTTAATCGGAAATTCACTGAAATCAAACTTACCTGTGTTACATGGACTGTACAGTGGAAGCAGGTTTGTGGCGTTGCCTGAAGCGCTCTGCCATCAGTCCCCTCGAACGCAGCGTGTGGAGGTCTGACGCGCAGGCGCGGTCACAAGAAAGGAGCTACAGCCATTGGTTACTGGTGGTTACTTAACGTCTAGCTCTCCTTTTCTACCTCTCCCTCATTATATACACGAAATGTGGAGGCAAGGGGTCCGGGCCAGTGCCCCAGCAGAATCTCTGACTATCATTGGCTTTGAGCAGGGCTGAGCTGAGCTGGTGACCACATTGGCCTCACCCAGCACTGCAAATGTAAAACTGATATAGATGAACAAAAATAGAATGAAAAACAATAAATGGCCAACTGGAAATCAAAGATGCAATAAATAAAAAATCATGCTGTAGCTGCTTTGATTAGAATGCATGATATCACACTGCACACATACATCAGTTCAGTTTTTATAAGCCAACAAAGAAGTTGCAGTTGTGAAATATAGTTGCCTTTCCAAAAAATAATTTGAAACATAAAGTTGCAATTATGATAAAAGGCAAAATGATTTTATTATTATTATTATTAGTCACAATTGCATAACTTAAAGAGTTCACCCAAAAATTAAAACTGTGTCCTTAATTACTCACCCTCTTGTCATTCCAAACCTATTAGACCTTCGTTCATCTTCGGAAAACTAATTAAGATATTTTTGATGAAATTCGAGAGCTTTCTGACCCTCCATAGACAGCAAGGGATTTACCACATTCAAGGCCCTGCAAATTAGTAAGGACATCATTAAAATAGTCCATTTGACATCAGTGGTTCAACCGTAATTTTATGAAGCTACGAGAATACTTTTTGTGTGCAAAGAAAACAAAAAATAACGACTTTATTCAGCTATTTCTTCTCTTCTATGTCAGTTTGATGTTTGTTCACAAGAGTACTACAACATGTGCGTTGAAGACTGACACGGAGGAAAGGAAATGGTTGAATAAAGCCGTTATTTTTGTTCCCTTTCGATACTTCACTCGTACTGCGTCTTGCTAGACGCATATGGGAAAAAAGCCTTTTTTCTCCTGAACTGAAGCCTATTCATCCTATACTGCATGGCCATTGGTTCGTGCAGAGCTTAAAAAACGAACCAATGGCTCGGCAGCGGAGCTGCACGAGCCTCTGGCGAAGA